GAGTACAACGGACGTGAGAGGTACTCATACCTTCCCCTTGTGTAACCTACTCCCGAACCCAAGATTTGGTTGCGATGACCTTGTCTTTCCCTTTATCTTAGGTTTTCTTAGGTTGATGTTGTCGTACCTCGAAAAATACGATCCTCGCGATGGCCGCGGAAAATACTGTTCGAAATAGAGTCGCCACCGAACTTTATTCATTCCAAGGATGGAATAGGAAAATATCGATAAAACCTTTAAGAGAGATAAGAACATGGTCATCTCAACCAATATTCTAGGTTCGGGAGTCGGTTACGCAGAGGGAAGGTATTAGCACCCTCTACGTCCGTTGTACTCAACGGGAACCTCTTGATCGATTCGAGAGCAAAGCTAACTATGCTTATTTGTTTTCTTCTAAGGTTTCTCCTATGGGGGGATGGATGGTTTTAAGATAGGGTGCTCGCCAAGGATTGAGGCCCTTGTGCCTACGTATCTTCACTTCTAAGAAGTAGAAAATCAGAGCAATCGTAGTTCGTGGGACTACGGGTAAAGAGGGGATTGTGCTCGCCAAGATCATCGCGATCTTGTGCCTACGTATCTTACATCCAGAAGAGAATGAAGAATCAGAGCAGCCGTAGTTCGTCCAACTATGGTAAAAGGTTTATGTTTGGAATGAACGAGAGATTAGGTCGCATTCTAACTGCTAAACATTGGCTTGTCTGCTCGCTAGGGGAGGCCGAAGCACGCGTTTGTTATGCGCGGAAGAATGGACTAAACAATGTTCTTTGAAAAAGGTGTATGAGTTGTGGATCGCACGGGGCGAGTTGAGTTTGATTGGTTAAGTATTTTGATTTTGAAAAGAGGGTATATTTGAATAGGTCTTAGGGTTGTGGTCGCACGGGGGCGAGGAATTAGATTGGTTAGATAATTCGATGGAGAATGACGACCAGTAGATAAACAAGATGTCAGCCTCGCAATCAATTAATCGAGATATTATTGGAATGCTAGATTCCAACGACACCTTTTTCATTCGACTAACTTCGAAATTAATGTTTGAGGAAGTTTTCAATCGCACGGGGGCGAGAAAAGGGTTGGAATGGTTGAATATTTTAAGGGGAGAATGACGACTACTCGATAAACGAGACGTCAGTCGCGCAATCAATTAATCGGGATATTATTGGAATGCTAGATCCCCAACAACACCTTTTTCATTCAATTAATTATGAAATTGTATTTGAATGGACAATTAAGGTATTCGTCAAAGTAACTAGGGCATGTGTTTTATAAACGAAAGGTCGAGTAATCCACAACCTAAAGCGTACGCCCCAAGAGTGTTTACTCAAGAATTCAAGGAGTGCGAGACTCCAAGAACTCAGTTCTTTCGCAATTTAATTAAGAAAATAGTTTGAACTTGATGTATGGTTTAGAAGCGTACTAAGGTTTAGACTCGATCACACGAAGGCGAGGGACGAGGTTAGACGAGTTGGAAATTTAGGAGGAATGACGACTACTCGATAAACGAGACGTCGGCCTCGCAATCAATTAGTCGGGATATCATTGGAATGCTAGATTCCAACAACACCTCTTTCATTCAATTAATTATAAAATATATTTGTTGGACAATGTAAGTATCGCTCCAAATAATTAAGAAGTGTTTTAGAAACGAAAGTTCGAATGATATACTATTCAAAGTGTACACCTTGATAGTAATTATTCTCGAATTCAAGGAATGCGCGACCCCAAAAACTCAATACTTTCGTAATTTTAATTATGATAATAATTTGAAAAATAATTAACGTAGTGGTCAAAACTGAGGTTGACATATTGCTTGAATTAGGGTTCGCGAATTTTGAGAGATTTAACAACGAGATTGGATATTTTAAGGATGAAAGACGAAGTGACCACGACCCAAGGTGTGCACCTTGAGAGCTATCACTTAAGGATCCAAGGAGTGCTAGACTCCAAGGACCCACCACTTTCATATAAATTAAAAAAGGATTTTTACTTATCTAATTTAAACATAAATAAAGTATTTTGAATTTAATAGAAAAAAAAATAACTAAACTTGATAAAATAAAAATATGAGTACAGTTAAATTGCAAGGCAAATGTTAATTATTATAATAAAACTAACAATATTGTTAATAACATTAATAGTAATAATATCACCTATAATATCATTAATAATATCACTAATAATATTTTTTTAATAATTAGTTTCTGAAACAGCTCCCTTAAATCCTACTAATTACCATTATAATTATTAACGTGCCATGTGTGATGATGGGTAATAGGCTAATGGGTTTCCAAAAATTCTCATTAAAAATAAAGGAAAAAAAACTAACTTAAATGAAAACGAAAACACGAACCCCCCTCCCTCCGGATCTCCTGCGCCTCACTCTCCCTCACCGTATTTCCTCATCCCCTCTCTGTCTACTCCTTCTCAGCTTAAACAAAATGGCCAGAGAAATGCAACGGCCGGCGGTGACGCTATCAAAAATAGAAAACCTTAAACCCTAACCCCCCTTCTCTCTACTCGCCAACCGAGCTTCTCTTCTAAACCCTCAACAAAACTCCACCCCCTCTCTCTCGAACACAAGACACACAAACTCGTACGTCAACAAAAACCATCGTAAATCCAAAACGAGTAAACAAACATCAAGTAAAACAACCAGAGAATACAAATAGATTTCAATGACTACGGGTTCCCATAGCGAAGATTTAAAAATTTCGTCGTTTACCTCAGGTGCGTATTTCCTCGTCTGGTTATCTTTGATGCTGACTCGTAATCTCCTCTTCGATTTCGCCCTTCTCCTTCCCTTGAGGTTTACCGAGTTCGTCTTTTTTCTCTGAATAGTTCTGTTTTGAGACTTGTGGGAAATAGGTCTAGCTCAGGGCAAACTCAGGTTCGGATATTGAACCTCAGCAACCCTTAAAATTTTCTTGAGCTTTTGAATAATAGGTAGGGATTGATTTTAACAGAGTTTGGCTAGGGTTTTTTTCGTCCTCCTTTTGCCAATGAATAGGACCATATTTATAGGGGGGTTTTTTAGGTTTTTGATACGTGTGAGAATTTGAATTTTTGCTGAAGGAAGGGCTTAATCCGTGTGAGGTAGGACAGAGAGGAGCATTTGGGGTAGTACTATTCTGTTAGGAGGTAATACCATGATTTCTGCTTTTCTGAGACTTGATAGTGACTTCTGTGTTTGTCTGTAGTGAATTGGAAAAAATTGTTTTTTACCCTATTTTTTATGTGTAAATTCTGTTCTTTTACTACTCACCAATTGCTGATGTGGGACTCTCTTTTTTTGACTTAATGCTTTTCTTGCTGCCACAATCTGTTATAACTGTCATGTTCTTTTACAACCCCTTTTTTAACGATTGAGTTGGTGTTCTTTGTGAAAGAATGAATGATTTGACTGCTTATAATACTCCTTGTTTCAACTTGTTTTCAGGTGCATTGGTTTGAGCCATTTTCACGCATTATTGTGAACGTTTTCAAAGCTTCTAGGTGACAACCAGCATGTGAATAGCCTGTTATCATTGCATTCCAAGGCGCGCTAACCAGACAAGTCATGCATTTTGAGTCAAAAAATGCTCATGCATCGGACAAAAACCCACACTTGGAGTACATATTGATAAGAGCTGTTCCAACGGAAGCATTGCAATCCTGTTAGAACCGTGCCTATGAACTTCAGTGCACTTGGTAATGTCACCTAACATCCCAACTGCCATTAGAGGTAAAACCAGAAATCATTGCATTCCAAGAATCATTAATCTCTGTCATGTTGTTGAACACCTTAACGGAACGCTCGCACTTTCCAAACTTTGCATACAGGTTGAGAAGAGATGTCCCAACAAAGGCATGCGTCGGAAACCCAACAATTTGAGCATGAACCATCTCACCCAACTTAAAGGAATCCAATCTAACACAAGATGTAGTAGCCGTGTTGGTTCGAGGTAACAATCATGACAGTCCAAGAAAACACATTTCTCTTAGACATACCATCGAACAACTTACGAGCAGAATCATAATCCATGCATTTTGAGTAGACATGAGCTATGTGATTCAAACACACCAAATTGTCTCGATCACTAAAACCGGATTTTAGAACATGCCCATGAATGCAATTGGCTTGTCTCAGAGACCCACTTTGCTCGCAGGACTTTAAGAGATCAATGAGTGGTCGAATGCTGGGTTGTTCATATTGTGTTTCTGTGGCTGCAAATGCAAGGGGTTTGGTTAACCTTCTTCCACGTGGGTCATTTGAAAGCTTTGGAGTTTGCGACAAAAAAGAATAGGCGTAATATGGTTCTAAGAACTATGATGATGCGTGCCTAGTTTGTTTGTGGAAGCCCGAGGCAGATAACAAGGTTGGTGTACCCACTGTGCAGCCATAATGCTCAGAAGAATTTTATGGTGAAGGATATGATGACAGGGACAAGAGAATTCCTGACATCGACATAATCAATGACCAGCTTGGTAAGTTTAGGTTTTAGTTTCGATTTCATCTTTCGTTAGTTCATCCTTGGTAGCAATTGAACCGTGTTTCATTATTGCTTATTGTAATCGTAACCTCTCAGCTTTGGACTTATGATCTCTATGACTTGCAGGAAACATGGTCGTGATTCACAACAACCATTTTACAGAATCAACAAAACCACCAAAGTTGAAACTGAATCTACAGGTTCATCACCTAGAAGAGCAGGACTAGAATTCCCAAGCTCTGCCAGATGCTGTTCCAACCAAGTCATCCTTCTAAGTTCAAACTTCCACATACACCTGATCAGAAGGATCTCCTCTTAACCCATGGATCATGTAGTTCTTCAATCATTTTATAGTAGAAGTTCCTATCAGAGCAGTGAGCACCAATTGGGGGGTGCTCTACTTTTGGAATATATGAGTAAGCTGAGTGGAGAAGCCTTGCATTTGATAAAATCCTTTCCTGATGTGGGACAACCAAGGCCTCAAAAGGAGAAAGGTTGAGTCCCGTTGGCAATCTGTTTTGAAGAAACTTACTCTCAGATCTCGACGGTACCAACAACATTCGTAACAGTTCTCACTTTTCCTTTTTCAAGGTAGCTACATCCCAGGTCATCAATTATGGTCTCCGTAAGAAAGTCTATAACTTCCTTACTGAAATTTTGTTCCCATCTCATCATAAAAAGTAACAGTCGCTCCATAAAAGAACCAGTAACCAGAAATGTCACCTCTTGAGGAGATAAACCCATCAAATGAGTAAACCCAAAGGTTCCACTTTTAACATGTATATCTTCTGTGAAGACAGATTGGTAAATGTCTTCTGCTCTAAATACTTTTGAAAAGATTCTCTGCAGATACCATGACCAACATCAGAACTGAGAGATACAGAACTCCGCAAAGTTTCTTGATAGACAAGTTTAGGTATCTCATATGAGATGGGGTTGTGACCACCCGAATAATATACATCCTCTAACTCCCCAAATGGAGGAAGGGAATTTGGAATCTTTCCACAGTAAAGGTATGTGCTTCCCTCACTTCTCTCAAACAACTCTGGATGGTTGCAAACCTTTCTCAATTGAATAACAATATTCATTAAATTCCAGATTTTCTTCTCATTGAGCTGTCCGTGATTACTATCAAACAATTCAGCAAGAGATATCTTGTTCTTAATTGCTTGATAGAAAGCCTGTTGCCGAGAACTTAACTTGCAGTGCACTGTAACTTCAGTTTTGCTAGTCAGCTCAGAAACTACATCTTTTTTAACACGCCAAAGCATGGAAGGCTTTATAATTGAATGCAATCGATTAAGTTGGTGCTCATTTAAAGTACCCCCATGTTCTGCATGGTTCTCAATTCCTTTTGAAAACCACTCATTAAACTGCTCATGGCTGTCAAATAAAGTTGGCATAATGGAGTGAAGAAGAGCCCATAACTCATCCATATTATTCTGAACGGGTGTACCAGTCAACAGTAGGCGATTCCGACAGTATAAGCTGAGGAGTGTCTTCCATCTTATACTGTTGGAACTTTTCTTATACTGTTGGAACTTTTAGATGCATGTGTGTGCTGACAGTGTGAATTGTTTCAGGTGAAATGCAGGATGTTAGGGTGACATGGCTTCAAGCCATTCGAGGATGCGGGCCAAGTGAAAGCATTATACATATTTGGTATTCTGGCTTCGCACTAACATTACTCCAATTAGGAGCCTTGAACTGCTCTGCTGCCTAAGATTGTGGCTGTGAACTCAAGTCCTCGATCTTAGCTTCACAAAAAATAATGTAAGTGTCGGAGTTTGGACTCTTGAAAAAACATTTGGCTTTGAAATGACGAGCAACATATTTTTGCTCTTCTGGATGTCATACGGCTGACACTAACTGTCATACGGCTGACACTAGTGACAGGTTTCATCCCAAGTTTAAGCCTTTCCTTTTAGCTCTTCTTTTTACTTCTGGTCTGTTTGGACCTAACAGATGCGCCACCTTCTAGTCCTTCTACATCATCGTCTTTTCCAACTACCGGCTCATTATAATGGATATTTTGTTGTTCGAGATGCGCGGCAAGAAACTCTTCTTGAGTTTGAGCAGTCATGGAAGGCTTGCGAGAGATTGATTATGAGGCGGTGATAGATCCAACACAGCAGTAGGTGCCATTCCTGCAGCTGCCACACTTGTAACATGTGATAATGTAGATTTTGGAATGATGTAATCACGTTTATGAAACACTCGTTAAGTCATGACCTTCACGAATATTATCTCATGTTTTGAAGGTGATCTTATCTGTGAACTTCATCACCACTTCATGTATGAGTAATATACTATTGTTTAGAATTCGGAATTTCCGCGAAGCATGTGGGGATGAGTTTGCTTGGGTATATCAATGAAACTTGGCTAAATCCCTATGAAAAGTTCTTTGTGCTTTCATTACTTTTGACTGGAAAGTACTTGAATAGGTCTTGACGTGTGACTTCTTTTTGCAGGGTATCTCGATTCGAGGCAAAGGAGACCATGACAGGGCGCGTCCTAGGGATGGAGGAGATTGCAAGCTAGTTGCCTTCCTCATGGGTCAACTTGGCATGAAGTTGAAGGAGACCCTTTTGAACTGTGTTGTTTTTGTCATTATTTTGGCAAGCACTATATATTTGTAACTCTGCTGAATCTTGCCAATAGATGCAAACTAATCTTGTTATGTCGTTTTTTTTGAAGGCATGCTGGTTGAAAGACGGGGCTGATGACGGTTGACAATATGAATCCAAAGTTGCCGATGAGATGCTTGAATATGTTGATAAAGCTTCATGAAGGTTTTTACACAATGGCAACTGGTAATTTCCTTGGAATACCCATTGGTTATCAATTATCGGGTTGTTGTCGTTAAAGCTCTGCAAAGGTCTTGGACATTTTGAGCAGTTCTTTTTTTCACTCCGAGCTACCGATAACGAACTAACCTTGTTCGCTTGTTTTTTTCAGATGCACTTCTCTTCTGTTCATGGAAAGCCGGTAACGAACCAAATATATATGTAGCTCCCAAGTTATGATTTAGTCATCTTCGTTCCTTGGCGGATTCAAATCCTAACGCATTAGATATCGTCGGCATAAGTTTGTTTTGTTCTGAATTTATTTGAGCTTGAGAGTCTCTTGTATATGTAGTTTCTGACTCATCAATTGTGAATGTCTTCCAAAACTTGAGCACAAAATGGTCTCACCTGCTGTTTTAATTCTAAATGATTCATGACTTAATGTAACCACTTAACTCATGGCTTGCGCAAGCCAGATCCTGTTATGGCCTTGTTTGTAAATTGAATCTCATAGCTTTGAATAAAAGATCAGTTTTTTTCTCTATTTTTGTTGTCATAGAATAACATGTCCTCGGTGTGAATGTAACGAGACTTGAATTCATCTGGCAGCATGGTCTAAGGATTCATTAATTCTCATTCCTTTAGTATCCACTTGAAATATAATTTAAAACAAACTTGGAATAAGGTTGAAGATTAACTTGAAGCCCATTGAACTAATTTCTTAAACTAATTTCTTAAAGTTGCTCGTGTTATATGGTTTAGAGTTTACTTGAAATCTCTTGACCATTTTTTATTACAAGAATATAAGTTCATCTTTCCTTTAACATAGCTTGTATGATTACGAACTGATGCACTGTACCATAAGCCTTCGAAATGAATCAAAATATTTTATGGACTTATGGCGTCTAAATTCTAATTCAAATATGATGTGAAATTTGCAAGCAAAATCTAAGTTTGTCACAAACTGATTTTCCAATTCAATTACAGCCTGATGCTTGCAACCAATTCGAGCCAAGCTTGAGGCTAAATCGACCGTGTCCATGAGCATCATGTGAAGTATCTTTGCATTAACTTGAATTAAGAACATACCATAGCAACTTGTAGTGAGGCTTTAAACAATCTTTGAAAAAGCTTTTAATCAAGTTGAAATAGGGTGTAAAATTTCCTGAAACTGTGTGGTATGATAAATCTAATCATGTCATTGATCATCATATCATGTATGTCTGAGTGTGAGAACGAGGACACACACGAGTTTGGATACAAGGGGATGGAGGCGCGCTCCTTCCACAATAATTCAGCATAAATTGCCATGGATTATCGCCACAATGAGTATACGCAAAGTCTTTATAACGAAACCTTAGAGAGTCATGGCCAGAAATCATGTGGCAGTAGGACATTTATTAAATACCAAAGTAGGACAAATTTTGGGTATGACAGATGTACGCACTTTACTCCTCTGTATTGACTATGCTTTAATACTTTAAATCATTTTCAAATATATTCTCGATCCAACATCGAGCCACTTTTCACCTTGTAATTCGATTACTTTTAAAGCATCGCCATCAACCTTTTGGTCACAATACACAACATTCAAAGCCTACTCATGGGCTTCCTTACAGTGAGACCTATTCGATCGATTACCTCTAGTTGGTCATTTAGAAGACTAGCCCACATTGCTAGTGCACACAATTAAAACTTGGTTCGATTACTTGTATCTTGTAACTCTAAAGTACATCCCATTATCTTTATAAGTAGGGCACATTTTCCTTGCCATCGACCTTACCTTATACCACTAGGACCTCCTTTCCATTAGTTCAACCCTTAATCGTTTTGTATGCAAATTCAAACCTCAATCAACATTGAGTATTTTATCAAATCAATCCAATGAACTTAACTATACTTAGACCATATTTAATTAAAGATGAAAAGGGAGTTGGAATAGAGTATTCGATTCTTCTCCTCAATTGTTTGGGCCCGAGGAGCCTTTCTTAAGTTCAAACAATTGTCTTTTCTAAAAACTTTATAACATGGTTCTACATCAAACTATTTCACCATAAAAGAAATCAACCTATTTTCTCAAATACTTAGATGAAAAAGAGAGAGAGTTAAGCCTTTGACTCATTCTCCTGATTACTTGGGCCCGAGAAGCCTTTCTTAAGCTTCAAGTAATCGTCATCCATTTAAAATACCTTAATTATATCAAATATTTTTTGCAATTAAGGTTGAAAAAGAGAGAGAGTCGAGTCTTCGACACACTCTCCCGATTACTTGGGCCCGAGGAGCCTTTCTTAAGCTTCGAGTAATCATCACCTCTAACAAAACATCCAATGCATCAAATTCTCTTTTCTTGCCCCCGTGCGATTGAAACTTCTCAAGACACTAATTCCTTGCCCCCCGTGTAATCCATACTCAAATACTTTTTCAAAAGAACATTGTTTAGTTTCTTCTTCCGCGCATATAAGCTAGTGCTTCAGCCTCCCCTAGCGAGCAGACAAGCCAATGTTTAATGCGACCTAAACTCTCATTCGCTTCAAACACAAATCAACCAACCATAGTTCTAAACTACGATTGCTTTGACTTACTCATTGCACCATGAGGGTACGTAGGCATAGAATTGCGAGATCCTAGTGAGATACCTTTTTCTTTTCAAACTTTTTTGCTTTTACCTCAAACCTTTTCCTGTAGTCCATGAACTACGATGCTCTAACTTTCCCATTGCATGAGGGAGTACGTAGGACCAAGGGCCCCAATCCTTAGCGATCACCCTATATATAAACTACCCATTTCCCCTTTAGAAGCGAATCCTTAGAAGAAAACAAGAAACCTAGCTAACTTTTCTCTCAAATCAAATCAAGAGGTTTCCGTTGAGTACAATGGACATAGAGGGTGCTAGTACATTCCCTCTTGGGTAATCGACTCCTAAACCTAGAATTTTGTTGCGATGACCATTTTCTTATCTCCTAAAGGTTTTATTGATATTTTTCTATTCCTTCTTTGTAATGAATAAAGATTTATGGCGACTCTGTTCGAACATTTTTTCCGCGTCCATCGAGAGGATTGATAACGCGAAAATATACACTATAATTGCCATGTTTTTTATATGTTAACTAGATGGTTTCAACCCGAATCCGGATTATTCCGCGAGTTTGTCAAGTATTTTTGCAGGTATATCACGCTCACACTCAAAATGAGCAAGACATAGAAAGCATACAAGAAGAAGACAAAAATGGGGGGAAAAGCCAGAAAGCAGCAGGACAACAAATTTTGGGAGTGTCACGCTCATCACAGCTTCACCACGGTCTTCACGACCACCACAGACATCACAAGAGCAACACGGTCGTCACGTACAACACGCTCGTCACAACTTCACCACGACCGTCATGAACTAAATATCAAAATAACGTCTAAAACAGAACGTGCACACGCAATAGAGAAAATATAGGCATGACTTCCCTGAGATTTCTCCCTCTCAACTCCTTTTTCTCCAACATTTCCTCATGGAACCTCAGCTATAAAAGGAGGACAGTTGGACCAAAGAGGGGGAGCTGCATTGAGGTATCGAAGTGCTGCCAAAATTTCCACCGAAGCCAAATTTTACATTATTGCATTATTTCCCTTTTCTTTCCCCTTTTAATTCAAAGTACTGTCGT